GCCAGGAGCCCCGTTCGTAGCGTCCGAACGCTCCTAGCAGCGATGCCAGGAGCCCCGTTCGTAGCGTCCGAACGCTCCCTTCGTAGCTATGTAGGTGAGGGTCATGGGCCGATCTATGGACACTTCGTGAGCAAAGACTTTGTGCCGCCTGGCCGGAGAGTGGCAGTTCGTTTTGTTTGGCCGGGAACGAACGCCGACCTCACGGGGAGCTTCCTCCAGTCGTTCCGACCCTCTGGAAGATGGAACATGGACCCAAACATGTCAAAACCTAGGAACAAGGGGCATCGCTACGAACGGAGCAAGGACGCAACGTTCGTAGCTCCTGGCCTTACTACTAGGAGCAAGGGACGCTACTAGGAACAGGGTGCATACCAAAAGCCCCCCCATTGTTTTAGGCCAGGGGATCTGAGAAAAAACACATCCGACAGGGTAGGGCCCGTCCCAGGAAACCCGGGTGAGTGGAGGCCCTGAGTTTGCTGGACCCTGAGGTGAAACCGTTGGACCCGATGGAGTCTGGACCACCGTCGTTCCGGAAGAGATGAATCCCAAGTGATCAGCAAAGCCAGGATAGCAATGGAAGGTTTAACACCTACACTGAGAGTCTGAGAGTCCATAGCTGCTGAATGGGCGAATTCCAAGGATTTTCCAGATTTGATCGAACCATTGGTGGCAGATCTAAGGCATTGGACAGAAATGCCTGTGGCCATTTGGAATGGCCTCGATAGTTCTTTCTCCCCGCCACGCTTGCCGCTTGGCCCCTTCACTACAAATGCAAGTTCCGAACCTGAGATTGCCCAAGCTCAAACCATCCAAAAAAAGTCATTGCGGCCCCCCGCGGCACAGCAGCTGAGGGGCCACCACTGTTGACCCAGTCGACGAACCGCTGTTCCCCAAGTTTCTCAGCACATCGGAACCACAGGTGGGTGACCAAGCCAGCTTCAGGTTCCAAAGTGTTTGTTTTTTGAAGAAGACTTGGGTGACACGGAACTTGGATGACTTGGCGAATTCATCGCGATTTCGTCCCTTTGAGTGAAGAAATCGAGACGGACAGAGATTGATGCAGAATTTCTTCCGAAAGCAAACGTTCCCACCGTTTAGGACCAGGTCTTTGTTGCTCTCATACGTTCCCACCCTCAGGCCCGAAGAGCGTCTTCTCATGTGGTTGGGAAGGTGTTGC